ATACCAGACCACCTGACCTGCCTCTTGAGAAACCTGTATGCAGGTCAGGAAGCAACAGTTAGAACTGGACATGGAACAACAGACGGGTTCCAAATAGGAAAAGGAGTACGTCAAGGCTATAGATTGTCACCTTGCTTATTTAATTTATATGCAGAGTACATCATGAGAAACACTGGGCTGGAAGAAGCACAAGCTGGAATCAAGATTGCAGGGAGAAATATCAATCACCTCAGATATGCAGATGACACCAGCCTTAAGGCAGAAAGTGAAGAAGAACTAAAGAGCCTCTTGATGAAAGTGAAAGAGGAGAGTGAAAAAGTTGTCTTAAAGCTCAACATTCAGACAACTAAGATCATGGCATCCAGTCCCATCACTTCATAGCAAATAGATGGGGAAACTGTGGAAACAGTGGCTGACTTTATCTTTCTGGGCTCCAAATCACTGCAGATGGTGATTACAGCCATGAAATTAAAAGATGCTTACTCCTTGGAAGGAAAGTTATGATCAACCAAGACAACATATTAAAAAGCAGAGACATTACTTGGTCAACAAAAGTCCGTCTAGTCAAGGCTATGGTTTTTCCAGTAGTCATGCATGGTCACCAAAGAGTAACATGATTCATATTTTTTCCTCAGACCTCTATTCTTCCCATTAAGGAGACTCAAGCACTCACAGCTTTTCTCTTTCTATTCTTCACTATCATTATCAAATATATTAACACACAGGCACACTTTCGAACTCCATCTCTCGTTTCACTCTTATATCCCTCCTCCATGAATCTTCCTCTTCCCCATTCTTATTTCTCTGTGAACTGAAAAATTAATCATTCCTTAGAAGCATAAAGATAGTTATTCGTCATATGCCAGAGATAGAAACTCCCCATTTTCATCTAAAATTACACAATGAAAAGTGAAAGTGTTAGTCTCTCAGTCGTGTCGCACTCTTTGTGACCCCATGGACTATAGCCTGCCATGCTCCTCTGTCCACGGAATTCTCCAGGCAAGAATACTGGAGTGGGTTTTAACCACAGATATATAAACATATATATGCATATACACATATACACACATACATATGCATTACTGTTGGTCAGTCACTAAGTCTTGTTGGACTCATTGTGACCCCATGGACTGCAGAAGGCCACGGATTCCCTGTCCTTCACAATAATAGATGCATTTTATAAATATATATAATATGCAGTTAGGATTTCAACCTATGACTTCTGGGGGTTCACACAGAGCAGTAGTTACGGTGAATTCTAGAAACAACACTTTTTTAACCACCGACATGTAAACATAGATATGCACATGCACATACACTCATTCCCTGGTGGTTCGGATGGTGAAGAATCCGCCTGCAATGTGGTGGACCTGAGCTCAATCCCTGGGTTGGGAAGACCCCCCTGGAGGAAGGCATAGCAACCCACCCCAGTATTCGGGCCTGGAGAGCCCCCATGGACAGATGAGCCTGTCAGGCTACAGTACAAGGGGTCACAAAGAGTCAGACCCGACTGAGCAACTGAGCACAGCACATATACACACTTGCGTATGCACACATATGTAAGTAATATACACAGTAAGTGCCAGGTGGTAAGGACCACATGGCTGTGAGCAGAAGGGCTAGATGCGCACAAGCGCCTACCTGTCCTGGGATCTGAGGGAGATGTCCTGCTGGAACTGTTGTCAGGTGTTCAGCAAGTTGAGAGCGATGCTTGGGGAGAAACTGCTAATCTTCCAAGCAAGAAGCTTCCTGGGAAGTGCTCCAGAGGTCTTGGTCCAGTCTGGCGGGTCTTTGAGGGTCCTAGTGGAAAATCAGAATGTCAAGAGTGATTTGTGACAGGGGCTGTTGTCTCAGTCCAAGTCACCGAGGCAACAGCCCACAGCTTTGCCAAAGGACACAGCAAAACCCCAGTGGAAATGGTGTAGATCCCACGCAGACCATCAATACCGCCTGAACATCCACAGGGTGTGACCACAGGTTGACCCTGGAGCTGGTCCAGACAGTGAGGCTCCTCGCCCTCCTCTAGCTGTAAAATGTATGCCCACGGGTCCTTCCCTGTGGAAGGGAGCCATTTTCAAGGAGGTTGTTTTGAGATATTGGGGTGATGTTGAGACCCTCTGAATTGTTAAAACTTGTCTATAAAGTTGAGATTTTGAAGAGCAGGGGTAGACATCTACTCACAAGTAGCATGTGATCATCATTTGTATAAATAAAAATATGTGCAGTTGAAATCCTGTTGTTGCTTAGTTGCTAAGCTGTGTCTCTTTTGTGACCACATGGACTATAGTCCACCAGGCTCCTCTGTCCCCAGGCAAGAACACCGGGTCCATTAAACATAGTGCTCAGCAAAATTATGCTCATGACTTGGATAAGCCAGGACCTTATCTAAGTAACACAGTGATTCCCAGATACTATTTCAAAACTTAACAAGGGATTTCCATATGCCAGTTTCTGTTCAAAATCCTTTAATCCCCACAAGAAACTGGGGAGGTAAATACTATCACTATTTTGATTTTACTAGTGAAAAAAAAAAGTAGAGAGATCAAGTGACTTTCTTGAAGTTGCACAGCTAAAAAGTAGCTGAGCAATAACTATGAACCCAAACAGTCCACCCTATTAACCTGGACCCTCTAGGCTATAGTGCCTAGCAAGTTAATATCCTATCAATGCATTCTTTTTAAGGAAAGAGCTACTTTTTTCCTTTTTTTACCCCTCTCAAACTGGGTTTAGAATGTCCTCATAATCCCATTAAAATATAAACACCTCAGAGAGATGTGAAAACATTGAGTGCTAATAGCACTGCAGGTGCTGTGCGTATTCTGATTTTATTAAAATAGAAAGTTGAACTGCAAAAGAAAATCAAGTGCTAAGAAAGGTAACTCCAGGCACCATGTCTGGCTCACCCTGCGGCATTCTACTCATGAATATGGTAACCAAGAGGAAAATAAACATGCCCAAATCGTTATCCCAGAGGTATATGGTATGTAAGCACTAAGAATTATTTTATTCTGCTCTGGGGCCCATTTTACATTCAACTCTTCATTTCTCCATCTCCTTATGAGCCTGTGCTGCAGAAGCTCTCTATCCCCAAGTGGAAGTGCTCATTTTCCCCACTCATCTGAGGGGCCAACAGGTCAAGATAACACGATGTACTGAGAAGTGATTGGGTCCTTCCAGGGTTTACATGTCCTCAGAGTAATAGATCCAGAGGACCCCTGACTCCTGCCAGGACCCAAGTACAACACCCATTCCAGTGTCTCCCCCACAGCCTGGAGACTTCCCTTCCCCACCAGACAGAAGCTCCATGAAGACAAAAGAGCATTGACTCTCTTCGCTGTCATGTCCCCAGTGCATAGCTCAGAGCCCTTCCTGTGAGGTATTCTCAATAAATATCCAATGGATGCAAAATCTGCTTCTAGCCAGGGGTGCAGATGAAGGTATTTTTGTCCCCTAAGTGTCTGGAATTTTTGTCATCACACCTCATGAGGAAGGATGGAGAGGAGTGGTAATGTGGTCTACCTGGTAGAGGGCAGGGATACTGGTAAATCCCTAGGATACACAGGACAGGCTCCATAACAAAGAATTTCTCAAAGCATCAACCCTGCTGAGGCTGAGAATCTCTGTTCTAATCCACTGTATTGTTTTGAATAATGAAAAAAATGAGAACTGAAGAGATGATATTCCTGACTCAATCTTGCCCACTAGAACAGTGGCAGTCAGACCCGGAGCCTGACTCCCAGTGCAGGCTCCTTTCCTCACTGATTAATACTCCAGAAATCAGGACAAGTCTCTTCAGAGCATTCATGTGGTTTCTCAGGCCAAATAAGCTCATGATAAAAAGAGAATCTTATCTTATAGCATGATTCCCTATTTTCATTAAAAAAAAAAACTACATAGCTTACTTTCCTTTAGTTTTCTACACTGCTGAGGCACTGCTTTTTTATCACTCATTGTTCTAAAGATGGGTTAATAGGTGGCTGTGTGCTGTGCTAAGTGGCTTCAGTTGTGTCTGACTCCTTATGACCCCATGGACCATAGCTCACCAGGCTCCTCTGTCCACGGGATTCTCCAGGCAAGAATACTGGAGTGGGTTGCCATTTCCTCCTCCTGGGGATCTTCCCAACCCAGGGATCGAACTCCCGTCTCTTTTGTCACCTGTATTGGCAGGTGGGTTCTTAACCACTAGTGCCTCCAGGGAAGCCCAATGGTTGGTTAAAGGGTGAAAAACTAAGGACAAGGAGGTGACTCCTGAGCTCTTTCTCTCTCATTCTCCCTTTAAAGAGAAACAAATGGAGAAGAGTTAAATCCGCTAACTTTGAACAGTAGTTGCACTATTAACTTCTGTATTTTTCAAACTCTAAGCAACACGACCTGAGCTCAAGCATCTCCTGAAGCTGCTGACCATCCCCCTGGCTGCCTTGTTTTCACACGTGCTCTCAGGCTCCAGGAGGAGGCAGAGTAGAAGACAACCAGAAGCAAAACCTCAGGGTCTAGACAGCTCTGCCACTCACTCCGGCAAATTCATTAGCTTCTCTGAAACTGAATTTTCTCATGAAAATGGAAAATTTCTTAAAGGAAAAATAATTATAGGGATGTTGAAAAAAATTTAAAGATGAATTAAGTTCCTCCTGAAAAGGCTGAGCACCTACTTGGTGAAGATAATAGATGTCCGCTTTTAACTGTCAATAGAGCTTTTATTTTTTTTTTTTTTTCATTCTTTTAATCCTTCAAAACAAGACTAAAAATACCAAGGCAAGAATTAACAGCTAAAATATATTCCTCCCCCTCCTCTTCCTCTCCAGTCAGTAACCCCTAAATTCTTCAGGCCCTACTACATGATGAAGTTTGCTCTAGGCGTTAACTTGATGACTTTTGTCTGTTACCGGCTCTATAGATCTATTAACATTGATTATCTAGAGTGGATTTGTTACTGCACTAGACATTCACCAGGCGAGAGGGAGGGACAGACAGGAAAGACTCTGATCTATACCCTGCCCTCAGGAAACTCACAGTTTAGTGAAGAGAGAAGACGAGAGCACATACAATCCAAACCCACGAAGTGGGTGCCTCCATGTCTGAGACAGATAATTCTTCCACACTTTCAAACAACAAATTCCACTTGTGGCTTGGAGCATGTGCTAACTAGCATTTGACACCCTTCAAACATCACTTGCTGCTGGGCAGATGCGCGGACGTTAGACACCACCTCAGACATCGCTTGAGGTTTGGCGCATGCGCTGCCGTTAGACACCCTTCGGGATCACTGGCGGTTGGGACACACTGGCGGTTGGGCGCATGCACTGACGTTAGGCACCGCCTCAGACATCGCTTGAGGTTTGGCGCATGCGCTGCCGTTAGACACCCTTCGGGATCACTGGCTTTTGGGACTCACTGGTGGTTGGGCGCATGCGCTGACGTTAGGCACCGCCTCAGACAGCGCTTGATGTTTGGCGCATGCGCTGACGTTAGACACCCTTCGGGATCACTGGCTTTTGGGACTCACTGGTGGTTGGACGCATGCGCTGACCTTAGACACCCTTCAGGATAGCTGGCGGTTGGGAATCACTGGCAGTTAGGCACATGTGTACAGTGAGGGTTAGGCTTTCTCTAATACAGTTCTGAGTATCTCACTCCTACAGAGTGAGTTCATTTGGCTAAGAGGAAGAGCGGGGGCTCTGTTGCTGACCTCTAAAGACTTCTGAACCCTTTTTCATTCCTCCACACTCTAGTCTGACAAATCCTCAAGTATACTCTGGGACAAGGCATTGGGAGAAAAAAATGAGAACCACTGGTTTAAGACACATGTATCACTGTTCAGCTGACTACCCAAAATAAACTACGATTAACAAGATTAAAATAACTTCAACACTTCATGTTAAAGAGGCAGGGATAAGCTCTCGTTAAGGCAGTGCATAAAAGAGCAGAGCAGTTTTCAGTGCAAGCAGCCTGGTCTTGGGAGCCTTGGCCTCCCATAGGAGGAAAGAAAGAAAACAGGTGGGAGCGAGTCATGCCTGTCCCATCAGTGTGGAGAACAGACTTCTTCTGCTTTTGAAAACTGGAGCGCTCTTCCCTGACCCCACGGCCCACAGCAAACACACTCAGCAGCATGCGTTATTGACCCCTCACTCTGGACCGGGTCTTTGTGAGGTCTTACAGATGGTAAGGTGATTAAACCATCACTGTTGCTCTCAAGCAGCTGGAAGTCTGACTAAGGAGACTGTTAGAGAACAAGGAAGATTAAGGCAATATAACCTGGTACATGAAACAAGGATAAACGAAACCTAGATTTTGTACTTAATGTCTAAGCAGGGGGCCAGAACAGCTGTGAAGAGCTAGGGTGGAGATTTCATTCCAAGTGCCATTGGCAGTAACAAGCAGTCAGGGACACCACAAAACAAAAATTTCACAAGGATTTCACCAGGCTGAAAGATCAGGCAGGGAATTCCAGGCCAATGGAATAACATGCCCAAAAGCCTACTGGTGGGAAAGCCCAAGGATTATCAAGGAAAAGGCAAATATACCTATGGGCTTTAAAATCCCTAAGCCATGTGGAATCAAAGAAAGGCTTTTACCTATGGAAATTACACAAAAGAGATTACAGTGGAATCCTCCAGAACTGTGTAGAGAAGGAGTTGGAGGAGCAAGTCCAGTCAGCGAGAGCTGTTAGAAGACCCGAGACCAGGTCACAGATGGGGCCCTGGATTAGGGCAGTGTCTTTAGGGATAGAGAAGAGATGGTGGGTTTGGTAGGTATTTTGGACAAATAGCTAAATTGAGATATACCACATTCCTGAGTAAATATTTGACTATGATGCTGTGCTACAATTGAGGGCCCAACAATTAAAGGAAAGGATGGGCCCTAATATCTCCCAGCACAGACACAGGTGAACTACTGTGAAGAAGAGCCATTTTATTCAGGCATTTGTGCTGTGCAAAGATGCCAGGAGAAAATTAAACACTTTATTTCACTATGTATTTATGAAGCACTTCACTCATCCCAAATTCTCATTTATTGCCAGGCACTGTAATACACTCCCTACAGACGTAATCTCATTTACTATCTTAAAAAAGTTTTTAAAATTAAGTTTTATTATTTTACATATGTATAAACAATAAAGCCAAGTTTTATTGTTTAAGTACCTTGCCCAATGTCATAGTTAACAAACTGCTGGCTTACACATACAGAGGAGAAAAGCAAGAAAGTATTTCAACAAATATTAAATTGAATTTTAAAATGTCTGTATCCCAGAAGTTCATGTGGCCTCGTCTCTGACCATTAAATAAATCCCTAAAGGATATAGTTTCTTTCATACATTGCTGGTGGAAATGAAAATTGGTGTGCTCCATCTGGAAGGGAATTTGGAGATAGTTAACAAAATTTCATACACACCAACCTTTTGACTCAGCAGTTTCACTTCTAGTAATTTATCCAGCAGCTACACCTTCAAAAATATGAAAATAAATGTGAACATTTCTTCAGCATTGCTTGCATATGCAAAATACTGGAAACAACCTAAATGTCCATACGTTGAAGAGTTATTGAATAAACTATAGTCCATCCATACACTGGATGCTAGGTAGCCGTTAAAAAAGAGAGGTGGGGGGTTGGGGAGACAATTTCCCTGAATTGGTATGGAATGACTTTAATGATCTGATTTTTAAGTGAATAAGAGCTGTCTAAACTGTTTTCTGTAGAGTATGTTATCCTCCACCTACCATGATGGTCCTGAACAAAGTCTGCCTTACCATCTTTAACACACATCATTGATTATTTTTTCTTTAACATTAGTAAATTTGTTTTTGATGCAAGGGTGTGAGTTAGAAATTTGGAAACTAGTTTATGTGTATACTTGGATTATAGTAAGTGAATATGTGGTGAAAAATGAGGGCCAAGCTTCTCCTGGTCAGAGAAAGGAGCTATAAATAAGGAAAGGAAGAAAATGACAGTAAATCTAGTGATGCGGGACTGGGATTAGAACTATTAGTCTGAACTTATAGTTTTAATATGTGTGTGTGCATAAATAGATACAGAAATGAATATATATGCATATTTTGCATTAGTAAGTAAATATATCATTTCATAGCTATCTTTCCTAAGAGATCCTGGAAGTAGTAACATCTCAGTAGTAATAACTTTACCTAGTGCTCATCTTTTGGTTTATAAGTATCATTATTTGATAAAAGGAAATGGAGATCCTTAAAGATATAGGAAATTGGAGGACAGAAGCATTAAAAATTATATGTATAAGATGAGCCTGAAATACTTATGGAACCAAAAAATAAGAAGGAAATGTTCAACAAATGATGTGAATATGTTGAAAAAGACACATGGACTAAATTAAATAAGCTCCCACTGACTATATCTGGGACAGTTTGAGCAACAAAATAAATAAAAGTATAGTAATGGATTATAACACATAGACTAAAATAAATATCCATGAATCCATACTAATCCAAAAATAAATGAATAATAAGTGGAGATGAAGGACTTGCTCTTCCTTACAGCAGAATTCAATTAATAATTTTATAAGGAATGATGAAAATTAAAAATGACCATTAGTAAACACCACAGTGAACATTGTTGCAGAGAAGTAATCATTGAAGGATGCTAAAGTTAATGGGAAAAAGTGAGATGAGAAACAGGACATTTGAATAGTCTCAAAGTGTCTCCCCACAAGATATTTATTCATTGCAAATGTGAAAACACTTTTATGGTGGATAATTCTATCATTCAGCACCTTAACCAAATGATCAAAATCGATATCATTAGCGGCACACACTGCACTCATGCACCTTCTGAAGTGATGCACAGAGAAGGATGAAGGTCATAACATCACTTCAGTAGTGATCCTGCCAAAAATATTTTATCCCATCTAATCAGACAAACCCAGACTTAGGGACATTTGATGAGATAACTACTAGGTTGTGGTTGTTTAATTGCCAAGTCATGTTCAACTCTTTGCAACCCCATGGACTGTAGCCCACCAGGCTCCTCTGTCCATGCAGTTTCCCAGGTTGGAGAATACTGAAGTGGGTTGCCATTTTCTTCTCCAAGAATCTTCCCAACCCAGGGATCAAACCCACATCTCCTGTATTGGTGGCTGGGTTCTTTACTGCTGGGCCACCAGGGAAGCCCATGTCAGTACCATACTGTCCTGGTTTTGACAGCTTTGTAGTATATTTTGAAATTGAGAAGTCTAAGTCCTCCAACTTTGTTCTTTTTCTAAATTGTTCTGGCTATCCTGGGTCTCTATATTTCCATAAGAATGTTAGGATCAGCTCATCAATTTCTGCAAAGATGCTGGGATTGTGTTGAATCTGTAGATCAATTTGCTGTCATATGAATAATACTAAGTTTGTGATCTGTCAATATATGATGCCTTTTCATTTATTTAGGTCTTCTTTAATGTCTATGAAAAACCTTTCTCTAGTTTAATACTGTTCATTTTTTAAAACTCTTCTTCCCTCGATGATGAACTGCTTTTGAACTTTACTCATTTAACCTGGGTCTGTTTCTGTACTCTAATTATACTCCACGACCTTGTCTATTCTGCATTGATGCTGCACTATTTTACTTACAACAGCTTTGCAGGACACTTTGACGCCAGATAAGGAAAGGCTTTCTATACTTCTAATAATTTGTTTTTCTCAAAATCTCTTGTCCTCACTCATTCTCCCATATGAATGTCAAAATTATCTTAAGTTCTGAAAGAAAGAATTCTACAGCAATCTGAATTGGAGGTACATGTTCCAGTTCATTTAAGGGACTGCATTCCTTTACAGCACTGAAAGTACCCTTACTTGTTCAACTTTTCTGTTATTTATGTTTCAACAATGTGTTATATTTTTCTTTATGGGTTCTGTGAGGGTTAATTTTATGCATCACTTCTCACCCATACCTGATCAGGTGACATTTTAATGAGACTTTGGACTTGGAATCAATGTTGGATGGCTTAAGACTTCTAGGGATGTCGAGATGAGGTATGTGTATTTTAATAGCACATGAAAATAACATGAATTTGGGCAGGGGGTGCAAAAGATGGAATGTATAGTGCAAACTGTTTCCACTCAAAATGTATATACTGAAGCCCTAACCACTAATGTGACTGTATTTGCAGATAGGGTCTGTAAGGAGGTTAGTGGTTAAATGAGGCCAAAGGGTGGGGCCTTAAATTGGTGGCTGGGTTCTTTACTGCTGGGCCACCAGGGAAGCCCATGTCAGTACCATACTGTCCTGGTTTTGACAGCTTTGTAGTATATTTTGAAATTGAGAAGTCTAAGTCCTCCAACTTTGTTCTTTTTCTAAATTGTTCTGGCTATCCTGGGTCTCTATATTTCCATAAGAATGTTAGGATCAGCTCATCAATTTCTGCAAAGATGCTGGGATTGTGTTGAATCTGTAGATCAATTTGCTGTCATATGAATAATACTAAGTTTGTGATCTGTCAATATATGATGCCTTTTCATTTATTTAGGTCTTCTTTAATGTCTATGAAAAACCTTTCTCTAGTTTAATACTGTTCATTTTTTAAAACTCTTCTTCCCTCGATGATGAACTGCTTTTGAACTTTACTCATTTAACCTGGGTCTGTTTCTGTACTCTAATTATACTCCACGACCTTGTCTATTCTGCATTGATGCTGCACTATTTTACTTACAACAGCTTTGCAGGACACTTTGACGCCAGATAAGGAAAGGCTTTCTATACTTCTAATAATTTGTTTTTCTCAAAATCTCTTGTCCTCACTCATTCTCCCATATGAATGTCAAAATTATCTTAAGTTCTGAAAGAAAGAATTCTACAGCAATCTGAATTGGAGGTACATGTTCCAGTTCATTTAAGGGACTGCACTCCTTTACAGCACTGAAAGTACCCTTACTTGTTCAACTTTTCTGTTATTTATGTTTCAACAATGTGTTATATTTTTCTTTATGGGTTCTGTGAGGGTTAATTTTATGCATCACTTCTCACCCATACCTGATCAGGTGACATTTTAATGAGACTTTGGACTTGGAATCAATGTTGGAATGGCTTAAGACTTCTAGGGATGTCGAGATGAGGTATGTGTATTTTAATAGCACATGAAAATAACATGAATTTGGGCAGGGGGTGCAAAAGATGGAATGTATAGTGCAAACTGTTTCCACTCAAAATGTATATACTGAAGCCCTAACCACTAATGTGACTGTATTTGCAGATAGGGTCTGTAAGGAGGTTAGTGGTTAAATGAGGCCAAAGGGTGGGGCCTTAGTCCAGCAGGAAGTGTCCTTATACAGAGAGGAAGAGACACCAGAACTGTCTGTCTGTGTGTGTGCACAGAGAAGAGGTTCTGTAAGGACGGGACAGAGGAGCCTGGTGGGCTACAGTCCTGTCCATAGGGTTGCAGAAGAGTTGGACATGACTTAGCAACTAAACAACAGCAACAATAGAAGGCGGCTGTGTACAAGCCAGTGAGAGAAGTCTGATCCAAACCAACCCTGACAAAATCCTGATTCTGGACTTCAACCCTCTAGAACTGTGAAAAAATATAAATTGCTGCCATTTAAGGCACACGATGTGTGCTTTCCTGTGATGGTACCCTGCAGACTATTAGGGCTTGCTAGGTGGCGCTAGTGGTAAAGAACCCACCTGCCAAGGCAGGAGACAGAAGAGATGCTGGTTCAATTCCTGGGCTGGGAAGATCCCCTGGAGGAGGGCATGGCAAGCTACTCCAGTATTCTTGCCTGGAGAATCCCATGGATAGAGGAGCCTGGCGGGCTATACAGTCCAAAGCTTTGCAGAGTTGGACATGACTGAAGTGACTTGGCACATATGCACACAGATTTACTGATACAAGGTCCTACACATTTCTTAAAATTTTTTGCCAGATATTTTTTACTATAATATTATTCAAGGCAGTATCTGGAATACAGGTTCTGAGACTTTTCTACACCTATTACTAATGTTCCTCGGTTCCTTTTCTTGAAGCCTGCTCTTATTATTATTGCCTCACATGAGTTTATTTTGTAGCTTCTGTTATTTAGCTGCTGCATTCAAAGGGACCTGACCCTGGTTTACCTTCATATTGGAGGACAAAGATTTCCAAATGCTATCCTTGAGGTCAGACACATACATTCATTTTAGAGACCAATTCGATTTCTCCCCCAAATTAAATGGAAAAAAAAGTATTAGAAATATTTGCTATGTATTAGTCTCAAATCAAATTAAAAACAAAAAGTGGGGCTACAAATCAAAGTTACAATAATACTAGCTTTTCAATTTCTTTTTTCTAAGCTTCTTAATTTTATACTCATCTTTCAGTGTCATGTCTTTTTGTCTAGACAGTGTGTTGAAAAGCAGAGACGTTACTCTGACACCAAAGGTCCGTATAGCAAAGGTTCTGCTCTTCCCAAAGGTTGTGAGACCTGGACTGAAAGAAGGAAGAGTGACAAATAATTGATGTCCTTGAACCATGGTGCTGGAGAAGACTCCTGAGAGTCCTATGGACAGCCAGGAGACCAAACTATTCAATCTTAAGGAAAATCGACCCTGAATATTCGTTGGAAGGACTGATGCTGAAGCTGAAGCTCCAGTATTTTGGTCACCTGATGCAAACAGCCAACTCATTAGAAAAGTTGCTGATGCTAGGAAAGATTGAGGGCAGGAGGAGAAGAGGGCATCAGAGGATGTGATGGTTGCATGGCACCACCGACACAATGGACATGAGTTTAAGTAAACTCCGGGAGTTGGTAATGGACAGGGAGGCCTGGTGTGCTGCAGTCTATGGGGTTGCAGAGTGGGACATGATGAGGTGACTGAACAACAATAACATAGCTGATTGACAATATTGTGATAATTGCAGGTGTACAGAAAAGGGATTCAGCCATACATACATGTGTATCCATTCTCCCCCAAACTCCCCTCCCATCCAGGCTGCCACATATCATTGAGTGGAACTCCTTGTGTTATACAGTAGGTCCTTGCCGATTATCCATTTTAATTAGAGCAGTGTAGCACTAGCTTTTCTAATCATCCATTTATCTCCTTTTACCAGAGATCTTCATCTCTTCATAAGGCTTGGACTTACTGTCGAGGATCTTTCATTCCATCCTGAAGTATTCCCTGCTCAGGAAGGTCGAGTGGTAGGGAATTCTCTCAATTTTCATGAACTGGGAGTGCCTTAATCTTTCCCTCATTTTTGAAAGACAGTTTTGCTAGACATAGGATCTTGGGTTGACAGCTTCTTTCCTTCAACATTTCAAATATACTGACCCATGTTATCTGGCCTCTGAGGCTCCCAATGAGAAATCTCTTGATCCTCCTGGCAGATCTTCTCTCAACTTCATAAATACTGATAATGTGCTTTACCAACGTCTCACACAATAGAACATTTTCCTATAGTATCATCAAGTCAGTTAAATCATCACTTTCCAACCAGATGTAAGGAAAAAGAATTGAGTATTTCAAGTGGAGACATTATGAGGTCTTTAAAATTATTACCAATTTCAAACTAAAATGAAAAAGTTGCTGAAGCATCCTACAGATTTTAATTTCTAACAGAGTGAATACCAGTCTGTAACACTACATTTAAAAAAACAATCTCTTTGGGACCTTTTTCCTAAGTGTAAAAGGACCTTGAAGCTGAAAAGGGAGAAAACCACTGGGTTTATCCTCAGTCACGTTGATCTGTTTCTTGCTCTAATCTCACAGAGCATCACTGTGATGAAACTCACTAAAACCATTTATAAGACGCCAGCTGGGTGCACGTTTTTGTCCATAGAGCCCAGGAAGCTGATTTTGGTAACCTGACGGCTGGACTTACAGTTAGCATGCTTTTCTCCATGTTTTTGCCATTTTGTTGATTTTTTTCCCCCTTTTTTCTCTCTTTTTTCCATTTATCTTTATCTTTTTTCTCATTTTTAAAAATTTGTGTCTTTTTATCATTTTTTTCCCTGGCTTTAGTTTTTTTCTTCTCATTTTTTCATTTTTCTCCTGTTTTCTTCCCTTAGTTCTTTTTCTCATT